CGCGAGTGTCAGTGAAGCTGCGATGTCCCCTGAGCTTGGCCGCCATTAGCTGTGCGGCGCGACCCGTCCCGGTCATCGCCATGGCTACGAATGCCAAAGCCAATCGAAGGCGAAGTCTTCGCTGGAAAAAAAGCGTCTCGCGCACCGCTCGTTAGCTCACGTGGGAGCCGATTCTGTGCGGTCTCCATGTAAACGCCGCAAAGCCCTAATGTCCTCATTAACGTTTCACCATCACAGAGCATGTGGGAAAGAAGAGTATCACAAAGATCTGCTCTGGCCTTTCCTAAGGTTTGTGTGGGAAAGGTGAGACTAGTTCAAAGGACTAACTGGGTGGGGAGCATGAGACAAATACATTAATAATAGGCATAAGGCCTCTTTCAAATTCATGATGGGATTATAGGGGCTAGAATAGTTTCATTTTTTGTCAAGAGCCTCAGCATAAAAGTTTGGTAACCAGCAGCTATTTCACTTGTCTTCCCTCCATTAATCAGGTGCAATTGGCTCGGAAGATGATTAAAAATGCTGTGGTTGTGAAGTATGAGGCAGTGGAGCATGAGCAACTCTTCTGGTGTGTCTGCTGCAAGCAGGAGGTGAAAAAGCACCTGAGCCATGGAAGCCTGACAGTGCTGTATGGGGGACTTCTGCAGCACATGGCCAGGTAGGGTGTCTTGATGCCTGTCTGCATCCTGGATATTGTGTTGTTTATACTTTGCATAGGCACAGCCTCTCAACCCTGAGATACAGAGATGAAGTGATATCCTTCAAATCATATTGAGTCAGTTAACAGAATTCCTGTGCTGTTGAAGTTTCTTACAGCCCTATGTTTATTCCTGCCCTTGCCCCTGACTTGCTATGTGATTTTGGGCAAGTCAGTTCTCTAACCTCCATGATTTGACATAGAGATTTTGAGAACGAGCTGTAAAGTGTTTGATGCAAGGTGCTTAACAATACATGAGCAGTTTTCTGCATTTGTCCCTTAGTGTCTGTGCACACTTTTAAGAAATAATCTTATTTACATACTGAATCTAAACTAAGTGCCTCGTAGGGGGTGTCAGTGACCATTTATGGAATTATGGTTCTGAAAGAAAACCACGACTTAAAATCCACTACCCTAACAGCACGTACAACTTTAAACTGGTAAATTATTTGTAACTCTTCCAGTATTATTATCCACTAATAATATTTTAATGATAAACTTAAACAACAACAAATGGTCTGGTAGCTCTTTATAGACTAACAAAACATGTATATGGTATCATGAGCTTTCATGGGCACAGCCCACTTCTTCAGATGACTGGCTCATCTAAAGAAGTGGGTTGTGTCCACAAAAGCTCATGATACCATCTACATGTTTTGTTAGTCTGTACAGGATAAACTTAAAAAACAACATATGATTTGGTAACACTTTATAGACTAACTTGGCTACCCCTGAAGCTTCTGAATACTTTAATGGTAAGTCTGTAATATTTTACTTCTAAAAAAAATCACTCAAAGGAAGTACCAGCTCTTTATAGCTATGTTGAGAGAACATGTGGCTGTTCCATAAACCTTTTTGTATTAAAGTTTGGTTGCTCAAAGACAGATTTCATTAGCTTTTGGTGGACTAAATTGTGAGCTACAGGGAGGAGAAACGCTCAACACTCTACAGCTACAGTGATGACCATAATGCAAGTAGCAAGGGAGAGAGATGTGCTCTCTGTGTCTTTCTTGGCTTCTGGGACTCAGCCAAAATGCTACATTAGAAAAGAACATGAACCAAACATCAAAGTTTAGCAGTGTTTGACATCTAAATACCCCTTTGAAATGAACTTTGTTACTGACCTTTTTAAACAAACTATAACCTGAAATCAGGTTTGCACAAAATACAAAATTTTTATTCGACTTTATTGCTTTGTCATGTAATCGCTTTATCTGAGATAAGTTAGTAAAGGAAACGTATACCAGTTATTGTGTTCTTTACTTAGTTTAGATTGGGAGTTCAGGTTTTAAATGATTTAATTAAACTTGGTTTTATTCTTTTAAAGCCTGGAGCATAAAAAAGAAGCCAACAAGTTCTGGTGGGAGAACAAAGCGGAAGCAAAATTAAAGGAGCAGTTTCTGATTTCCCCTGAGGACTATGAGCAGTATGTAGGCACCTTGTCTCTTTCTTTGCTTAGGAGTATAGTATTTGCTACATTAGATCAAACTATTGATACAAAATTCTTTGAGGCAGATGTTTCAGTGTGTATAATTGTGGTGTTGTATAAATAAATAATTAGCCCAGACTCCTGCCTTAAGCAGCAATCAATATCTGATACCATTCTCCCCTGCATCTGGCCAGTTACATTGTGTTAGAGATACTTTACGGACTTCCCCAAGCGATCACCTCACCCTGTGAAGCAGAAGATTTGCTCACTCTCTATTAGCATAATTGTAAAAAACCGGTGTTCATTCCAGTCATAGATAGATTGCAGATTCGATAATTTACCATTCATCGTGGCTTATCTTCCATGCGCTTATCAACCAGTAACTCATTAATCCTAACGGGGTCCTTGCAAATCCAAAATGGGAAACTGAGACATGGGGACCAACCAGCTAAGTAGTAGTTCTACAGAAAAGGACCTGGGGGTTACAGTGGATGAGAAGCTGGATATGAGTCAACAGTGTGCCCTTGTAGCCAAGAAGGCTAATGGCATATTAGGTTGCATTAAGAGGAGCATTGCCAGCAGATCCAGAGATGTGATTATTCCCCTTTATTTGGCATTGGTGAGGCCACATCTGGAGTATTGCGTCCAGTTCTGGGCTCCCCACTACAAAAAGGATGTGGACGCATCGGAGAGGGTTCAGCTGAGGGCAACCAAAATGAATAGGGGGCTGGAGAATATGACCTATGAGGACAGGCTGAGGGAGTTGGGTCTGTTTAGTCTGGAGAAGCAAAGAGTGAGGGGGAATATGATAGCAGCCTTCAACTTCCTGAAGGGAGGTTCCAAAGAGGATGGAGAGAGGCTGGTCTCGGTAGTGACAGATGGCAGAACAAGGAGCAATGGTCTCAAGTCGTGGTGGGAGAGGTCCAGGTTGGATATTAGGAAAAACTATTTTACTAGGAGGGTAGTGAAGCACTGGAATGGGTTACCTAGGGACGTAGTGGAGTCTCTATCCATAGAGGTGTTTAAGTCCCGGCTTGACAAAGCCCTGGCCGGGGTGATTTAGATGGGATTGGTCCTGCCTCGAGCAGGGGGCTGGACTTGATGACCTTCTGATGTCTCTTCCAGTTCCATGATTCCATGATAAGGGAATGGTTTGAGAACATGATCTTGGTAACTAATTGACCATTCATTAACAGTGGAAAATAGGTCAATGGAGGGATGATAGGAGTTACTATAGAGAACTTTCTGGGTGTCTGGCTGGTGAGTCTTGCCCACATGCTCAGGGTTTAGCTGATCGCCATATTTGGGGTCGGGAAGGAATTTTCCTCCAGGGCAGATTGGCAGAGACCCTGCAGGTTTTTCGCCTTCCTCTGTAGCATGGGACACAGATCTCAGCTGGAGGATTCTCTGCATCTTGGGGCCTTTAAAGTATTTGAAGGCTTCAATATCTGAGACATAGGTGAGAGGATTATTCTAAGAGGGGTGGGTGAGATTCTGTGGCCTGCACTGTGCAGGGGGTCAGACTAGATGATCATAATGGTCCCTTCTGACCCTAAAGTCTATGAATCAGTGTCAGAATTTGAGGTAGAAATTCTAGGGTTTCCAGCTCCTAGCATTTCAGCTATCAGACTATAGCATGACACAAAAGTGACTGATCTCTCAAATACTTTTTAAGGTTCAAATCATCACTTGTCAAAGCTCTGGATGTTTATGAAGAAAGAGAGGATGAAGTCATTAAAGAGGTGAACAGAGACGACCTACATGTGTTGTGCCTGACTTACCTGCTTGCTTTGCCTTTTGTCCTCATCCTATATCTTGCTTCATTCAATTCCAGATGGCATCCCATATTCGAAAAGTGGAGCAGAGCAGACAGGAAATGGTACATGCTGTCTTAGAGGTTTGTTTTCCCAGGATTCACCTGAGCAGTATCCAGCAAATGATTGTTTCCACAAGCCCCCCTGAGTTCTTATAGATGGCTGTTATCTGCATTATTTGTTATGTTGAAACTACATACTATTTACTTCTAACAACTTGTTTTTTCACCTACCATTGGGGAAGTTCTTATATGACAATTGATAGGACTGCTGCTCTTTACACATCTCTGGCTTAATTTAGCTGTAATTATCAGTGTGGGTTCTTTCAGGATAGGGTTAGGTGTGGGTGACAGAAGGAATCTGGAATACAGTGTCCTACTTTACCTGCACTGTGGAATACTAGACACTTAAATACCATTCTTTATAAGTTATTAATATAAACATTCCTGCAGTGGAACCAGATATATCCTCTTGATGGGAACTCAGTCTTGCACTTACATAGGATGAAATCTGTTAGGTCTTTTGACTGCACTCAAACAAAATAAATAGTTATTGGCCCTTTTATCTTTTTAAAAAGTACAAAATCTGTTTGACTCCATAGAAGGAGTATTGAGGTATTGTAGATTTATGCAATGACTCCAGTTCAAATTGTTTAGATTACAGATAAAAAAATATTGCACTTTAACTGCTGTTGCTGTAGACACAGTGGGATCCTCAAGTCTGGCTGCATCCTTATCAACAATAAATATTCTGTCATTCAAGCCTACTTTACAATTCTGTTGGTGATTCACGAGCCAGTGAAAAGCCAGTTCCCTCTCTGTATTTGTTTTCCCTTGCTAGCAATCCAGAGCCAGGGCAAACTAAAACACAGTTAGCATCTACACTGAAAATTCCCACTATCCTTGCCTCCAGAACACAAACATGAATGTATCGTTCCTAGATGTTTTAATAGAACAGGAAAGGCCTTCCTGTTAAATACCAGAAAAAATGTTTATTTTTCCTGAATCAAACTCAGCCTGAGACAGACAGAGAATTTTGTGATGAACCTTCTGCCATCAGCACACCTGGAGGGCACAAAAGGTAAGACAGTTGCCTTTTATATTATCATATATTGTCTTCTCTGCTTAAGAGTTTTGTTTTTTGGTGAAATACTGAGCAGCAATTATCTAGATTTACTGTTAACTTGACCAGTGTAGTGTCAATGACTTTTGCTTTCTCCGTTGCTATCAGTTTACTATCTGTTGCTCACCTTTGGCTACCTGCAAGCCCCTAAGTATACTAGAACAAACAATGTAATAGCTTCAGAGGGGTAGCCGAGTTAGTCTGTAACAGGAAAAACTTAAAAAACAACAAATAATCTAGTAGCACCTTAAAGATTAACAAAACATGTAGATGGTATCATGTCACACTCACACACTGTCTGTTATTCTCATAAACACACACTATCCATCAGTCTCATCTCCCTACCTACCACATACATGGGGGATTGTTATTTCTTTTAGGCTATGTCTACACTGGAGGCTTCTTGCACAAGTATGGCCATTCTTGCGCAAGAATCCGCAGAGCGTCCACAGTGCCTTCCCGCTCTTGCGCAAGGAAATTTACACTACGGCGTGGTAAGAAGGCTTCTTACGCAAGAGCTATGCTCTTTTTTTAACAGGTGTAAGCCCTCCTGCGCATGAGGGCAGTGTGGACACTGGGCAGGGATTTCTTGCGCAAGAAAGCCCTATGGTTAAAATGGCCATCAGAGCTTTCTTGCACAAGAGAGTACTCTTGTACTCTTCTGCAAAAGTACAGCTCGCACGTGGCAGTGTGGACGTTTTCTTGCGCAAGACCTCTTGCGCAAGAACCCTTGCGCAAGATGCCTCCAGTGTAGACATAGCCTTACTGTTTTCAAAGTGTTAGTTTTGTTTTTTGATTGGTCTGTGCATTTCATTTCTCTCTTATGCTTAGATTTAATTCTTTGAGTAGTGAGTTCTAAAACACCTAATGGGTTGTGTCTGGAGTAATTATCCCTGTAGTAATTGCTGCTCCTCGAAGTGGCTGACATGTCCCTGCAGCTCCTGAGAGAGGCAAAGCAGGGGTCTCCACATGTTGTCCTTGTCTGCAGACACCACTCCTGCCACTCTCATTGATCAATAATGGGGAGCCTTGGCCAGTAGAAGCTGTGGGCTCAGTGCTTGTAGATGAGGGGCAGCACATGGCACCATAGAGCTACTGCTGTATGTGTCAGCTGCTTTTGGGAGTGGTTCAGGGCCAGGGCAGGAGTAAGGCTGCCTTACCGCTATCTCAGTTAAATGGTGTCCAGCCAGAGCCTGCTTCCTGAACCCCTATCCTATCCCAGCCCTGAACCTCCTCCTGCCCCAGACATGTGTCCCTATGCACCCAAACTCCTTCCCAGAGCTTGCACCCTGAAACCACTCCTGGACCCTTATCCCCTGCCCTGGGCTAAACCCCGGAGCCCCACCCACACTCCAAATTCCCTGGCCCCAGTCCAGAGCCTGCACCCCATCTCTCTAACCCAGTCTAGTGAAAGTGAATGAGGTTTGGGGAGGAAGGGGGATGGACTGAGCAGGGTGAGGCCTTGGAGAAGGGCCTCAGAGAAGGGGTGGGAAGGAAGTGGAAAAAGTGATCTTGTGGTTCAAGCTTGGAGACCACTGTACTAGACTATTTGTCTATTTGACAATTTAATGTTAAGGTGAATATTGTCCTGTCTCCAAAGGGATGTTAAGGACTAATCTCTGCACAGAACTAATGCTTTATAAATGCTAATTATTGTCCGCTGATGAATGTCATTAAAAATCTCCAAACTTGAACATAGGCATTGAAGTTTTTATACCTTATCGCTACATCTACACTACATGCTTCTTGCGCAAAAACAGTTTTGCGCAAGAGTTCTTGTGCAAACTTGCACAAGAGAGCGCCCACACTGCCATGTGCTTTTGTGCAAGAGATGTACTTTTGCACAAGAGTTCATAGCAGTGTGGACGCTCTCTTGCACAAGAAAGCTCTGCTGGCCATTTTAGCATTAGGGGTTTCTTGTGCAAGAAATTCATGTTGCGTGTCTACACTGCCTTCTTGTGGAAGAGCTCTTGCGCAAGAGGGCTTATTCCTCATGGGGAGAGGAATAACTCTTCTGGAAGAAGCCCTGTTTTCTGACACTTTACTGTGTAAATCTACTTGCACAAGAATGTGCATGCAGTGTAGACGGTCTGCAAGTTTTTGCGCAAGAACAAGTGTTCTTGCGCAAAAAGCCTGCAGTGTAGATGTCGCTTATCTGTATCCCATAACTTGTATTTAACAATTCCATGGAATAGATTGAAACACATTTGTTTTCTTGCTGTTGTCTGGGTTCTAAATACTGTATCTGGCAGACTGTTTTGGTTCCTGTGTTCTAGTGACTTCAACATCACTGAAGAGGAAGAGCAGCTTGACCCAAGTGCAATTCAGACAACACCTGATTTAGATTGGATGGATGAAGACCATGCTCTGACTTTTATTGGCCACCAGGTAGAATTGCAGTAGGCCTTAGACTCATTTTCCTTTTTTTAGGGGTACTGGTAATACAGATCATAGCCAATGGCATTTATACTTTTAGCTGCTGGTTAGAATCAATTAGAGTTTATAGCAGGGGTGGGCAATAATTTTTGATGGGGGGCCACTCCAAGAATTTGGTAAGTGGTCAAGGGCCACACTCTTCCCTGATATTAACAAAGGAGGTGTGAGGCCTGGGATAGAGGTTGGGTGCAGAAGGGAGCGTGGGGTAGGGTATTGGGCTGCAGGTTCTGGGTGGGGGATATGGATTCTGATGAGGATTCTGACTTGGAGGAAGGATGTATGAGGGCGGTGCAGGGTCTGGAAGGGGGTTGTAACCTGGGGCAGAGGTTTAGACTGTGACAGGACAGGATGCAGTTGTGCCCTGGAACAGGGAATTGAGATTCAGGATATGGGTGGGAGAGGAGGAATGTGCAATGTTTGGTTTGGGACCTGGGGCAGAGAGTTGGGGTACAGCAGGGGGTAGGGTACCCCTGCCTTCCACTCCTGCATGCTATTGAAAGCAGCCTGCTGTGGGGCCAATGTGCATCTGTGTGTGCCCCGTCCCCCTTCAGGTGGGGATCCCCATGCTGGCTATCTTGCAGGCATGGCCATGTATCTCCACCCAGTGGGAGCTGCAAGATAATAGTTTGAAGGGTTGTATTTTGCCTACCCTGGTTTATAAAGTTCCCTAATGTTATAGTGGCTGACCAAGCATGGTGGTGGATTTCAGTAATACACTGAAAATGAAAGATCCTTAGAACAGGCTAATCTGTTAAATCATGGGTTCCCAAACTGGGGTATGTGAAGAAATTCCAGTGGGGGCTGTGAGGCAAACCAGCCTCCTCCCCCCTCAAGTTTTGCTGCCCTGGCCAGTTCCTTTTTTTTTCCCCTCAACAAGTTTTGCTGCTTTGGGGGGGGTGAGGGTTTTTCAAAAATCAAAAAGGGGGTGTGATGCCAAAAAGTTTGGGAACCACTGTGTTAAATTATAGAGGGAAAGACTTCCCCTGTTTTCTTTATTGCAGTTTCATCCAGAAAGGGCATTACAAATGGAATTCAGTTCCCCTGAGCTGCTTATTTTCAGTTATCAGATTCCCTTTGTATATTTCCTCATACAAGCTTAACTAATAATTATTAACTTACTGTTTTTAGAGTGTTCTGGGGGAAAGTTAAGTTGCTATTTTAATCATACATTTCTGATTGGGATTATTTTATTTTTGTAAACAGGAATCAGACGGGAAAGGAAATGTTCACACAGGTACATGTTTATTGCCAGGGTTCCGCTTTTACAAGCTCATCAAATATTTCTAGGTTCTGAATGCAACAGCAGACTAAGTAACTTTAAAAGAAATTGAGATAGCAAGATAAAGATTCTGAAACCTGGTTCAGACAGCCTTTTCATATTAGAATGGGTGTGGAGCAAGATCTGTCTTATAATGGAAACTTTGAAACTAAGATTGCAAAGTACGAACTGTTGCTTAGTCCTTTCTTTTCTCCACAAAAGAAGCAGCACAAAGTATTGTAATTCCAGGAGAGAGCCATTTCACCACTGATTTCTTAGGGAAACCCTGTCTACAGAAGTGTGGGGGCATTTTTACCATCCCCTCTCCCTTGGCCTATATTTAGGGTTATTTCAGTAGCCAAGCACGTTCTCCCTGACCTCCTAGGTGCCAAACCTCCCTGGCTGATGCAGGACAAAGAGGATTTTGGAAATAAACAGCAGATTGGACCTTCTTATGAGGAATTTCTCATGGAAAGTAAGTGGCTTTAAATATATCAATACTAGTTTTTAAACTAATTTTAGTTAAAAAGCAAGTCAATGTGCACACAGAATCTGAGGAATTAAGTGTGACAAGTCTGTTTAAAAGACGAAGTGATGCAGAGAGTAGATGACATACATTAAACACTGCAGACAGCCTAAGTAATAATGGTATTCTGATAATCCTGAAGATAAATTCCAGTTAGTTAATAGATTGCCACTTTTTCTGCAACTATCTAAAATGCTTGATGAATTCAGGCTAGAACCTGTTCACTTTCTCTGAACTAACAATTCTTAGAGGAGAAGCAGAAGTTGAAAAAGCTTCCTGCAGATCGTGTTGGGGCCAACTTTGATCACACCTCTCAGACAGGTGAAGGGTGGCTTCCTTCCTTTGGACGGGTCTGGAATCATGGCAGGAGATGGCAGTCTAGGTAAGGCTCTGAATACAATGGGTTAACATTTAAATTCAAGATTCTTTGTAAGAAAAGGACTTCTGCCACGATTACTGATAGTGGTAATAACATGTATCTGAAACAGATGTCTTGGTGCAAGTAGAAGGAGTTAGAGGCAAGGCTCCACATATTGAGCATTTAAGTCCTATTACTGAAGTGTCTCACTCACATACCTCCCAAGGTACTGGGTCTCCTGCAACAGAGTGCACTAATGTAACTAGAACTTTACCTAGATGTGCTCCATTAAAACTTCAACCATATGGTGTAGTGACTCATGTTCTCTCTCAAAGCTGACTCCATTGATATCTTTTTCAGACATCAGTTCAAAGCTGAATCAAGCAAAGAAAAGGACAGGCAAAGGAAGACCCGGCAAAGACCAATCTTAAGTTCAATGAAAAAAGGCACAGCTTAGTAATTACACACTAAATGTATTACAGGTAACCCTATGTTAAGGCTGTTCTTATGTATGTTATGTTTACCAATTTATAAGCTAGATGTATTAAACTTATGGAACTCTTGTACTTAAGTTTATTAAAACTAAGTGGGTTGTTGCTGTTCTGTCCCACAGAGTAGGAGTCTAAGAGTTCTTTGGCCAGAGCTATCAGCATCACAGAATAAAAGATATCCTCATAAGCCTCTTGGCTCTCTCACCCTCAAGAAAACTTTAAACTTTTTCTTTAATTCAACGACTTTATTGTATACATTTGCATATGAAATATGGCAGAGGTGACTGGAGAACCTGCAAAGCAAAAAGCAGTGATTTAGACAATCTGTTTTCTTAAAGTCATTTAATAAAACGTGAAAGAACAGTCCTCCACTTGTTGGGCACTTTATGAAGAACTTGAGTTTTAGTTCTTCCAGTGCTCCACACCTATTTGTTTTCACTGTTTAGATTTCACAAGGCAAGGGGGGAGAAATCTAAAATCCCCTAGAGTGAATACTTCATAGTAGCAAGCAATTTTTAACCAGTAGTACTTCAGAGGAATAGCAGCTCACCTTTCTATGCATCTTCCCCACCAGCAGGTGCATCCCCACCCTTGGTGTTTCTGGTGTAAATCACTTGGGCTCGATGCTTGGACACAAGTTTGATTAAACCTATGAAGGAAGCAGGAGACATTTATGAAAACAAAGTGTTAACAACTAAGCTTGGAAAGCCCATATGGCCAAAGGGTAACAGCTCTATATTGAGCACTTCAGACACAGGGCTAGAAACCTGTTGGTTCAAGAGGGCATTTCAATAACAGAAATAGAGTAGAACGCACTATGAACCACTTTGATTGGAAACACTGAAATTCCTATTGAAGCCTTTGACAGAGTTATAGTCTTACTTAGACATAACAGTCCCAACACTAAGGCTACATCTACGCTGGCATGATTTTCCGGAAATGCTGTTAACTGAAAAGTTTTCCGTTAAAAGCATTTTTGGAAAAAGATTGGCAGGGTGCTTTTCCGCAAAAGCACTTTCGCGATCAGGGCTTTTTTGCGGAAAACATCTGTCTACAGTGGCCCTTTTGCGCAAAAGTTTTTCGGAAAAAGACTGTTGCCCGAACGGGAGCAGCATAGTATTTCCACAAAAGCACTAACAATCTTACATGAGATCGTCAGTGCTTTTGCGAAAATTCAAGCGGCCAGTGTAGACAGCTGGCAAGTTTTTCTGCAAAAGCAGATGATTTTACGGAAAAGCTTGTCAGTCTATACACAGCCTAAATGTTTTGTAGGACAGGAGAACGGTTTTATACAACATTAAAATGCCAAGTAAAATATCCATTTGAGTGATGCCAAACTCTCCCCTTACCCCAGGCTGTGCCTCCCCCTCCAGTACAACCTTTCCCTGCTTCTCCCAGAGCCTCCTGCAGAGATGAGTTGATCAGAAGGGGGAGCTGGCAGCTAGTGAATATATAGCACCTATCAATTTTTTTCCCCCTGGGTTCACCAGCCCTAAAGCAGCCCCAGGGTCAGAGCCCATGCACCTTTGTATACAAGCTTGTATCAAATCAATATAAGCTTTAAACTAGGTTCAATGGGGGCAGGTGACCAAAGCCAACAGGTACGTGAAGCATGGAAATCTGGGAGATGGGTCAGAAATGGGAGGGGGTGTAGCTATAATAGCAGAGGTAGAGGAGGGAGAAGGTAAAAATGGGAGGCAAGATCAAATCAGTATCTTATATGCCTATATACAAATGCAAGAAGTATGGGGGAATAAGCAGGAAGAATTTGAAGTGCTCACACACACACACACACACCCCTGACATGGTTGGTATCACAGAGACTTAGTGGGATAATACACAACATTGGAATACTGGTATAGAATGGTACAGCTTACTCAGGAATGATAGGCATGGAAAAAAGGGAGAAGGTGTTGTCTTATATGTTAAAAATGTATGCACTTGGACTGAGGTGGAGATGGACGTAGTAGACAGTTGCATTGAGAGTCTCTGAATTAAGCTAAAAGGGATTTTAAAAAAAGGGTGATGTCCTGCTAGAAGTCTACTATAGACCACCCCTACCCAGGTAGAAGAAGCTTTTTTTAAACAAAATCATCCAAAGCACAGGATTGGGTGGTGATGGGGGACCTGAACTATCCAGACATATGTTGGGAAACTAACACAGCGGGGCACAGTCTGTCCAATAAGTTCTTGGACTGCACTGAATCATCATTTCCCTTCACATCCACTGGCTTATAGGGCAACACAGACTGCATTGAAGACAATTTTATTTCAGAAGGTTTAAAAAAAGCTACTGGGGGAAGCTGTTCTAAATTTAATTATAACAAATAGGGAGGAGCTGGTTGAGAATTTGAAAGTAGAAAGCAGCTTGGGTCAAAGTGATCATGAAATCCTAGAGTTCATGATTCTAAGGAATAGTAGAAGGGAGAACAGCAAAACATAACAGATTTCAGGAAAGCAGATCTTGGTAAGCTCAGAGCACTGGTAGGTAAGGTCCCATGGGAAGCAAGACTAAGGTGAAAAACAACTGAAGAGAGTTGGCAGTTTTTCAAAGGGACATTACTAAGGGCCCAAAAAGCAAGCTATTCCGCTGTGTAGGAAAGATAGAAAGTATGGCAAAAGGCCACCTTGGCTTAACCAGGAGCTCTTGCATGATCTAAAAATAAAGAGTCATAAAAAGTGGATACTTGGACAAATTACAAAGGATGAATTAAGCAAACACAGATATGCAGGGGCAGGTTTAGAAAGGCAAAGGCACAAAAAAAGCTCAAACTAGCTACAAGCAAAGGGAAACAACAAGAGTGTCTATATATTAGAAGCAAGAAGACCAAGGATAGGGCAGGCTCTCACTGCTCAGTGAGGGGAAACAACAACAGAGGAGCTTAATGACGTCTGTGTTTCAGTCTTCATCCAGAAGTCTGATGAAGGAATGCCTAACAGTGAATGCTAGTGGGAAAGAGGTAGGTTTAGAAGATAAAGAATAAGTAAAAAAATCACTTAGAAAAATTTGTCTGCAAGTCACTAGGGCCTGATGAAATGCATCCTAGAATACTCAAGGAACTGAGAGGAAGTATCTGTGGCCTTAGGTATCATCTTTGAAAAAATCATGGAAGACAGGAGAGATTCCAGAAGACTGGAAAAGGGCAAATATACTGCCCATCTCTAAAAAGGGAAATAACACCCAGGAAACTACAGACCAGTCAGTTTAACTTCTGTGCCAGTAAAGATAATGGAGCAAGTAATTAAGGAATTCATTTGCAAACACCTGGAAGGTGCTCAGTAACAGTCAGCATGGATTTGTGAAGAACACATGTCAAACCAATCCGATAGCTTTCTTTGATAGGGCAACAAGTCTTGTGGGTAAGGGAGAAGTAGTGGATCTGGTATACCAAGACTTCAGTAAGGCATTTGATACAGTCTTGCATGATATTCTTATCAATAAACTAGGTAAATACAACTTAGATGGGGCTGGATAACCGTTCTCAGAGGGTAGTTATTAACATTTCACAACCCTGCTGGAAGGGCATAACCAAGTGGGATTCCACAGAGGTCTATTTTGGGACCAGTTCTGTTCAATATCTTCATCAACGATTTAGATATTGGCATACAGAGTGCGCTCATTAAGTTTGCAGATAATACCAAGCTTGGAAGGGGTTGCAACTGCTTTGGACGATAGGGTCATAATTCAAAATGATCTGGACAAACTGGAGAAATGGTCTGAGGTAAATAGGATGAAGTTTAATAAAGACAAATGCAAAGTGCTTCACTTAGGAAGGAACAATCAGTCACACACAAAGAATGGGAAGCGACTATCTAGGAAGGAGTACTGCAGAAAGAGATCTAGGGGTCATAGTGGACCACAAGCTAACTGAGTCAGTGTGATGCTATTGCAAAAAAAGCAAACATGACTCTGGGATGCATTAACAGGAGTGTTATGAGCAAGACACGAGAAGTCATTCTTCCACTCTACTCTGCGCTGATTAGGCCTCAATTTTAGTACTTTATCCAGTTCTTGGCCCCACATTTCAAGGAAGATGTGGAAAAATTGGAGAAGGTCCAGGGAAGAGCAACAAAAATGATGAAAAGTCTAGAGAACATGACTTATGAAGGAAGACAAAAACTGGGCTAAAGTTTGGAAAGGAGAAAACAGAGGGGCCACGATAGCAGTTTTCAGGTATCTAAAAGGGTGTCAGGAGGAGGGAGAAAAATTGTTCTCCTTAGCCTCTAAGGAGAGGACAAGCAGCAATGGGCTTAAACTGCAGCAAGGGAGATTTAGTTTGGACGTTAGGAAAAGCTTCCTAGCTGTCAGGGTGGTTAAACACTGGAATAAGTTGCCTAGAGAGGTTGTGGAATCTTCATTTCTGGAGATATTTAAGACCAGGATAGATAGACATCTATCAGGGATGGTCTAGTTGGTACCGGGTTCTGCTGTGAAGGAAGGAGACTGGACTCAGTGACCTCTGGAGGTCCCTTCCAATTCTAGTGTTCTATGATTCTAATCACCGATAAATGAGGGACATGATACATTTGAGGTCTCCGGTGTTTTTACCTTTGCTGAGCAGTTCTTGGAGGGCAGCCCTTGCTAAGGAACCTCGAATCTTCAACCTTTCAGAGACTACAGCAGGCGTAATAAGTTTGTAGTTGGGCACTTCTTTGCACAGTTTATCATAAGTAGCCTTGTCAAACAAAACAAGGTTGTTCAGCTTGTCTCTTACTTTCCCCTTGGACCACTTCTACATGAAGAAAAAGAAAGGAAAGGTCACCAAAGAAAAATACCCTAAATGAAAGCTCTGGTATAATTTCAAGAACTGCACCAGTTAACACAGAAATTTCCTCCGTGTCCACCTAATTCAAGCTTGTTGATCAGATGAGCACCAGTTCAACACACATCTTAGTCACTGAGTTACCAGCACTGACCCATTAGCACAGGGGACTAACACGGCTACCCCTCTGATAATTAGCACAGGGGTGTCCAACCAGTTAGAGACTAAGAGCCAAAATAGCTGTGGATAGAGTGCAAAGAGCCATGTATTATATATTTATTTTTATATATCTATAGATAGATACAGGGCTTGACAAACTGCGGCTAAATCTACTCGCCAGCCCCACACTGTGCATGTGCAAGACCCGCATTGCACGTGTGTGCTGCCAGTGAATGGGGCAACCAGCCCCGGATATAGTACACAAAAATGTAGCGATAAAAACAACATTACAGGACATTTCAGACAAAAAAGTCTCTAGTCACTTAAAAAAAAATTCACTGCCTGTCCATAGATCTTCAGAGAATTTGACAAGGAACAAACATCAATTAAAAAAAAAAAAAAAAAAAAAGCCTTTAAAAATACAGTAATATTCTCTCTCTCAAAAAAAGCATCTCCACCACGTATTTTAAATTGAGCACAAGTGCCCTATTATGGTCTGAGTTTTTTTAAATTAAACTGAACTGAGAAGTAAATTAGCACAATTTGGAGTGCCTGTTTCACTCCAGCTTGATGATCTCTGGTATGGTTTTGTCATTTTTTTTAAGCTAATGCATATTATGGCTTTTTTATAGTTCTAAAATCTAGGTCTGTCCCAGACTGCAAATATGAGAGGTTCAAAAACAATAAGGGAGACACTCATATCCCAGAATAATTGCTTCAGCCTGGCAAACAATAGCCTTTGAATTTTCTTTAAAGAAACACAGCATAAACCAGGGACATTCGGATTCTTTTTTTGCCCTGGAGTTTAAACAGGACATGTGTTGGCTGCCTTGTTCTGCATCCATGAATACTTTTGAGTTTAAGGTGCTTCTGTGTCTCTCTCCCCTCCCCCCCGCTCTAATCCAATGCCTCCCCCAGAGCCAGGTACCTCCAGCCCCCTGCTCTAACCTAATGCCTGGGTCTCACTGGAGTCACCGCCATGCACTTCTCCCTCCAGGTGCTGGGCCATATGCAGAGCTGCTGGCCATAAGCAGTCTTGGCCGCATGGCTCAGAACTACAACAGCCGCATTTCTTGGAGCAAAGAGCTGCATGCGGCTCAAAAGCAGCCGGCTGGCCACCCCTGCATTAGCATCAGGCTCCAAAATGCACAGCAGGGCCTTTTTCTACACTACCACAAAACAAAAATTCCAGAGCAGACAGCAATCACATATATTCACCAGTTATTCAATTCTACTGTATTTAAGCCACCTGCAATCTGACACAGTGCTAGCTTGTAAGTCACCCCCAAAATCCAAACTAACTTGAAACTGACTTGCGTTTCTTTACATGTGAAATTCACCCTGTAACAGTGCTGACATCCAGGTCAGTAGAACTGCCATGTCACAAGCAGCTAGTCCCCAAGGGAATTGGGTTTTAACTGGCTCCCCTCGGACAGTGGCTGGGGGCTCGTCAGGAGCGGGGCTGGAGCGCGGGCTGCCGGCCTCGCCCCAGGCACCACGGAATAGGGGAGTAACCAGGAAGAATTCACGCGGTCGCTCAATTAGCCGATATGGAACATCCCAGGCCCCGCCGCGCGCCCGGGAACCCACCTTCTTCTTCGCTTTGCCCCCGGATTTGTTCACGGGGTCCTTGTCCTTCTTCGCGGACTTGCCCGCGTCCTTCTTCTTCTTGTCGTCCTTGGGGGGCTGGGAAGAGACACGGGGGGGTGAAACCAGCCGCCAGCCCCGGGAAAACCCTCCCCCGGCGGGACCCACACGGGGCGGCGCGTACCCGCCGGACACCGC